GCAGAGACAAGGCCATCTGGCACAGAAAAAGAGAGAAAAAAAGAAACATCTTTGGCACACGTCAAAGCACGATTGCTCCGCTGTATGCATGCAAGTATTTGTTACTTGTTTCTTTTTACTTAAACAAACCCACCATTTTTGTCGTTGACCCCGTAGATGGAGGACACAACGACGAGGGAGATGTCTTGTGGTATTTGTACCTATACAGTGATTTTGTGATAAGCACCTGCTGGCATTGCTGATCGAAAAAATTCAGTGTATAGTCTAGGCTTCAATATACTCTACAAATAAGCCCAGTACCCAGCCGGTTTCCCTCCATTCACAGTGAAGACTTCAACACATCCCGTTCGACTGTGGTCTCATCTCGAATGGTAAGTCTTCCTGTGTTTGTATTTATGTTTCCTAGAATCCAGAACAACCCCATAGTCTCTGCTCCGTAACATTTATGGGATCGTGTCCATCTTTATACGCGTAGTTACTTGTGGAGACTACTGTGTAGACTATGATTTTTACGTGGTGAGTGTTTCCACGTACCAATTCTCTGGTGAGCGCGTGAAGACATTTTTTATGTGCATATAGTTGGACGAGCTACACTATCTACACGTACTACCGTATTCGACCACAAGATAACACACCCCCACGACCAGTTTTCAAGGCTCGATCACGCCACGACGAAGAGGATGCATAAACGAAACGATGTATGTCCAGAAAGCTCTCGACGAGACAGCTTCTTCAACACCGCCGTTTTCGGCGCTGTGACTCCGCTGTTGAGATCGAGCTGTGTTTGAAAATCGGTCCAGGGGGTGTGTTATCTTGTGTCGAATACGGTACTGCTGTGCTACTGCTGTTTTACTACCGTGCATTCGACCCGCAGTGCGCTCGAGATTGCTCCCTAACACTTTGTGAAACTTTCCTTGCGGGTGGCAGGCTCATCACGTCTGGGGGTCATTCCAACATGTCCCTCGTCCTGTGGGGGGAACAAACTTTTGTTCCGAGAATCTGTGCTTGCTGCTGCTGTTGACGACGTAGTCTAAGTAAGCCAGACGTACACGTGGCGTGCGTTGGACCAACTACGAAAGGCACGAATCTCAGTGAAGGACGACCCGACCGAAAAATACGGACGGGAACGTTATTTCGTTCTGGTAGGCTCGATGTGCCCCCGTCCCAAAAATAACAACCTCTTCTCTCCCGAACGCTTGAAATGCGACACGGCAATTCGTGCAGAGGCTACCGGCCGATACAATCGCTCCCTCCCTCCCTGTCTACGTCCTGGTGCGATTTCGCGTGGTGGAGTTGGGGGGGGCGGCACAGAAGACACGCACACGCAACGATGCATGCACGCACACTCAACCGCAGAGCAGTGAGAGAGAGCGGTGTCAGCAGGGTGCAGCTGTCACCCAGCGCACCAAAATAAAGCAGCACCACCTGCGGTCAGGGGAAGTTCTTTGGGTTGTTGTTGTTGTTGACTTCACATTAAACCGTATGCCAGTTGCTAAATGCCAAAATCTAGCAAAGACTCTCAGCCCGTGGTCACGAAAGTGCTAGAGCCATCTGAGGATCTAAAGAACACGCACACGTAGCAAGAAAAAGGTATCCAAGAGCCCGAAGAGGTACTACTACACCTATATATAATCCCTGCAGCACCGTACGCGTGCCCAAAACTGAACTACACGTCCGTCTCACCGTTCGACTACAGCAACATCACCCCCTACTTGTCCCACTCTGTACCAAAACGAATGATTGCCGACTACAGCATACTTGCTGTCTGAAGTGCTGTCTGTACAAAAACACCATGGTAGGCATGGAACAAGAAGCTGGCGGGGCACAAAGCTGCTGTCTGAAGTGCTGTCAGAATGTGTCTGCGGCCGTACAGTGAAAAAGAACAACCAACCAAAGCCATCATAGCAGCAATTGACAATCACCCGAATCTCTCCCGATCGTCTGCGTTAGGCACGCAGTGAAAATATCGACAATAGCTAAGAATCGTTCCACATTGAAGGGGTCTTCCACGATCAGGCACATAACCAAGGCACCCGGGTTAGCCACGCCATCTCTGACGGGTCTCTCTACAAAACCAGTGACGACGTCATCACATAGAACCAACACCGAAAATCAGGAAAAAAACGAGAAAAATTGACAACACAGATCAGATATAAATGTTTGTCCGTGCGCCACGGGTCGATGTCGCCCGCATGCTCCGGTGCCGCTGCTCCGTTCGGCGCCGCTGTAGTCAGCCCGAGCATAACGCCACTCGACCTGCTCCGTCCGTACACGCTCTCGTTGCTGTCCTTCCCAGTCGGTTCCTCGCTTTCTCCCTCGTTGCACTCAAGGTTCTTGGTCTGAAAAATAAAAATTCTCGCGCCGAAGGGGTCAACCAGCCCAGTTCAGCTCGTCGCCACCTGCTCCCTCCTCCTTTGATGGCGAAGCCAGGTTACTGAGGCAATGCAGCGCCCTCTAGCCAACCTAGGGCCGTGTACATAGTTCCCGTCCACCTTCTGACGGTGTCTGCCTCCGCGCACAAAAAATGAGATGGGCATCGCTGCCTACGCCGACGGCCAGAGGCCCGCGCATCTACATTTTTTCGCCTGACCCCATCAGTGCCGACCCAACTACACCACCACGCGCATGCCTCGCGGCGGATATGCGCAGCAGCAAGAAGGTTTCGGTCATCCCTTGAGGGTGAATCTAGCCCTGCTCGCCAGAAAGACCCCCCCCTTCACTACAACCCATGTCTAAGCAAAAGCTTGTCGAGGAGCGAGGGGAAGAAGTATTCTAAATCTGCTTCCTTTTCTTCAGATGGAAAAATTTGGAGCCCCAGTCCGAATTTGTGTAATATCGTTTTCATATTTTCCCCTAAGAGAATTTCTGCGCCAACAAGCGAACCTATGTGCCGGTTCAGACCATCAGACAACACGACGCGGCGGAACACTTGCCGGTCCGGTCCAAGCAGCACGACAAACATTTTCGCAAGAAAGGAGACATCGACCTGCTCTCTCCTGTCTCCTGGCTGTCTCCTGATTTCCCACTTCACATGCGAGCGGGAACTCGTACTTACTCATAGCAGGTTGTTTAGCGGTGAGCCTAATCGTGAGGTATACACGACGTACCGGTTTGTCAGGCGGAACGAAAACACCGAGCAACGCAGGCGCGGTGACGTCGCCATTGTGTGTCCATTCGCAATCAGGAGCGTGCAGAGGCTCTCCCCTGCCGAGGCGGCACTACTAGGACAAGAGATAGAAAGAAAGAGAGAAGTAGATAGAGACAAAGAGAGAGAGAGAGAGAGCGCGAGAGAGTGAGAGCGAGAGAGCGAAATCTTCGACCTCTTGGCGGAGTTTCCCATCCATACTCCCCGTCAGCGTCAGCGTTGGCCACTCGCCCCGACATTCGTGCATCCTGCTGTTGTCGCTACCCGCAAGTTTAAACTTCCCGAAGAGATGGCCAACCCATGCAAGACCCAAGCTTTCCCCGCCAGAGGACGCTCACGCGGAGAGACATCCAAGGCGAGTGTCTCTCTGTGGATGGTTTGGTCGAGACAAGTATGCGAGCCTTGGCTACATAGACTTACAGCCGTGTCGGTGCAGTCTGTAGACTGTGTGTTAAGCTCGGTGCGTCACATATTCTCGAGCTCCCCGCCAAGCGTACACCGGTCTCTTCGCCAGGTTCACGTTCGCGTGTTTTCCGCTTTATCTGTAGCATGTTGGTTTGTGACGCGATGCGCGTGGCAGAAGTTCCTACGTGGTACCTGGTCGCTGAGGAGACCCTCTGCAGAGTAGATATGCCCACGACGGGTAGCCTAGACCTGCAAGCCTTTTCGATCGGGCCACTATCTCTTGTGACGCTCTGGACGCTCGATTGCACTACGTTGCGGCACCTTGTTTTCAAAGCGTACAAGCCACCTGTACCAGTAGTTCCTCGGCTAGGCGATGGTGAGACTGGTAAACGAATGAGAGCCACCAATGATCGAATTCCTCTCGAGATAGTTGTGATGGTGGTAGATCACGCGCGCGCTGCCACCCACTTCGTTGATTGATCTCATCTCATGCAATGACAAGCCCGTGCGAAAGGTGACATATTTCCAGCGCGAGGAGGTTTTCAAAAAAGCGCTTTCTCTGCAGGTTGATACGGGCAGACACTTGCGTGTTCTCATGCAACTAAAACGGCTGTCGATGCACACCTACCTCTCCTTTTCGATGGTACTGCTGTGTTCAAGGTCAGGTTGCTTCAAAGTAATCGACCCACAACACGCGAGTGAGGTTTGCTGATACTACGTGAGAGGGCAGTGGTTTAGTGGTTGTCCTGTATCCCCTTGAGATTATTACAGGCACCATAGTCTACGTGGGTTCACGACGATCCGCTCTACGGTCTCCACTGACTCTCTGTGTTGATTGATTTCTAAATAGAATGACTGAACACCATCCAACGGCACGACTTTGAGACACAACATCCACCCCGTTGGCCAAATCATCATTGGCACAGCTTCATTGATTTTATCTCGGTCTTATTGCAATGCTAATCTTATTTGTGCGTCCATTCTTACACTTCGTTCGGGTACATAAGTGGTTCTCGTACTCCATGTTCGAGCAACACAAACCTGCCGACACGCTATGTGCAATGATGCTCTTCGCGTGTGACGGAGCTTGTTTTGCTTCTGCCTTGAAACCTTTTGAGCTCAAAGCATGCCAAAAAAACTGCTGAGGAATCTCCCTCACATGTTGATAATGACAACCACAAAACCCTCACTCTTCCACACCCTCTGGATCAGCCAAGTGCCCGAGCGCGGAGTCCACGGACCGCATGCAACTTCTGCCACGACAAGCGAGTAAAATGCGTCATGGCCGAAGGAGAGACGCGCTGCGAGCAGTGCATTCAGAGGGATACCAACTGCGTCTTCTCCACTAAGGCCAGTTGTCCGTGTAAATGGGCATGCACCGTGGCGACGACAAGAGTACGAATGACGACGCGATAACAACGACTCGACAATACCATATGGAACATAGGTTATGATCGTGGCAAGGATAATAATACCAAACCACAACAACGACAACAACGACGGTACTGACAGCAAGACCTCGAAGGCGTCAAACTACTACAGTGTATTCGCACCAACCTCATTTTGGGTGCGGTCGCATAGAACAGTTACGATTCACCTACATCCCACCCGCTCTCCATACCAGACAACGATGGCAAACAATAGCAACCGCCCCTAAACTTAGATCCCCCGAAAATCAACGGAAACACCACACCACCCCACATCCGCCTCAGGCAAAGACGGGACCGAAGCCGAAGAGCGCCAAGGCCAAGGCGGAAGGGGCCGCTCGACACAAGAGCAAGAGTTCCCGCAGCTCCGCCCGCCGAGTACACGGCGCCTCCCAGGTGCCCTCCGTCCTGCCCAGACGCGGCAGCGCCAGCGGGAACGGCAGCTCGTCCTCCTCGTCCTCCTCGTCCTTCCGCGGCTTCGAGGCCATCGGTGACTCCTTCGCGTCTAGAGCTGTGGCTGCTCCTACCGCTCAGCCGCCCGTGGAGGCGGGCACGGCCGCCGCTGACCACGAGCGGCTGTACCTGAGCGTTTTCATCGGAACAGTGGGCAAGCTGGTGCCGCTCGTACGAGAAGAGGTGCTATCCGTGGCCCTCAGAGAACGGCAGCGGCTGCCGCAGGACATGGCGACCGCGGTCGGGGCCAACCTCGTTGCCTGCGAGCAAGCTCAGGTATGGGGTGTTCGTGTGAAGTCGGGCTTTGGTTGGGCATTTAGCCAAGACGGCGTTGCCATTATAGCCAAAAAAAAGCAGCGACAGCGAGTACAGTTTTTTTGTGACAATCTCATTCCATATCGTACTTTGGATCCTTTAACTTCTACGCCTGCTGTCCGCCCCCCGCCCCCCCCCTCGAACTGGTTCCACAAAAGGTGGTCGGGGCGATTTCTCTGGGGGCCTTGATAAGCGGGGACCAGGAGGCTGCGCACGCGTACTACCTCTCTCTGCGGTACCACCTCGGCGATGTCAACAGCCTGACCGGGGTGGGGGTCGTGCCGTCCCTCGCGCTGGTGGCGCTCTACTGGCAGCATAGGGGCGAAGACGAGCTCAAGATCGAATGGGTCGGCCACGCCCGCCGCGTCTTGGCGAACGTCCAGGTGAGCGGATACTAAGGCGTCCGTCGCCATGCTTGTTAGGCGACGTGGGTGTGCGTGTTCGTTGCGTGGCCTTGAACCCTGAGCAATCTCAAACTGTAGTAGAGCTCTGATTTGGAATAGATGGAATTAAACGTCGGAGAAGTTATGGCCGCCATCGGTGGTCGAGTAGAATCTATGAGACCGACGAAACCTCGTCCAGCAACCCACTCTTATCTTGCTTTTGGTCGGTACTCGCTCAAACGCCGTTTGTTCGTCCTGCACCCTAAGCTCATCGATCGCCATCTTTCACCTCGTTTGACGGGACATTATTGCCGATTTGTGTTTGATTATGCCCTGATGCTCGGTCAAGTCACACGATGTAGGTTCCGTCGATGTCGGCCCCTGGTGATCTGACCCCCTGTCTATCGAGCAACCGTACGCTTTGACACAGCCAAGCACCCACTGTATATTTTTGCGAGGCTCTCAACTACTGTACATAGCCTGATACGAACACCCTGCTCTTCTTGTCGTGACAAATGCTGCGCCATCGCAGAGCATGCCCGCTAACCTTGTCCTGTCCATCGAGTACCTGGACTACGCCCGCGAAGCCCACCCGAGGCCAGGAGTCGAGCTGATGCCGTCGAGCCATAGGGCCTTGCACTCCATCTCTTGCCTCCTAGCAAACATGCCGGCGATCGTTAACCCAGCCGTGGGGCGCGCGGCAGCAATCGGGTCCTGCGAAGAGCTCAGCATCTGCATTCTCGGCTTGCGCAACGAGGCATGCTACTTTGTTGATGTTGTTGTTATTGTTGTTGATAGTAGCGGTGTTGGGTGGTGGTCGTTTTCTATTTTCTGGCCTGCCGTCGCCAGCAGCTATCCTCTCTAACGAAACACAACACAATTCATTTCCAGGGGAAAACGTCCCCTTGAACGACTTCACCTGACATCTCCCGCCACCCCGCTTGCGCGCCCGTCACCGCCCGCAGACATCCGTCGAGCTGACGCTCTTGCTGTGCACATCCCTTCGCGCTCTGCTGCTCGCTATGCTGGGCCAACGAGACGCCGCCACCGACGTCCTCGACACGATCCCTTCCCTCGTCGACGTCGGCAGCGGGGGAAATCCCTCCGTCGTGCGTGCCCTCCCGCTGAGCTGGGACGCGCTCCTGATCGCTTCGGCGTTGTCTTTTCTCCTCGGGCAGGGAGCCACCTACCAGCGGCTCCGGTCGGCCGTCGAGCTTGCCACCGACGTCCCCGCGGAGGCGCGCTGGACCTTCTGCCTCCCCGAGCCCGGGAGCGACCCCCAGGCCTACGTCGTCCACGAGTGCAACAGCAGCAGCAACATCTGCAACATCATGTGCGAGATCGCGAGCAGAACGAATTTCGGCGCGCAGCCGTTCTACTCGGATGAGCAGCAGAAGGGTGAGGAGCAGGAGCAAGAGCAGCAGCTGCAGCAACCTGGGCTTCTTCACCCATCCACGCCCATGATGCCGGCGTTAGTCCTTTCGTCGTCACACCGGCAGCTGTCTCACGAGACGGCGGCGGCCCAACCCTCTGGGGACCACCGGTATGGGTGCGGGCCCGCGGGTGAAACCGTGAGGAGGATGCCGTCCGACTTGCAGGGCAACTTCGCCGCCGTAGGCATTGACGGCAGCGGTGACGTCGGCATCATGCCGTTCATCGACGGCGGGTTTGGCGGCCGTGGAGCGGGGGCGACGGATGGAAGAGCCGGCATCGCTACCACGGTTGCGGAGAATGTGGTTTTGGAAGGGGATTGCGTGGATTCTGCCGCTTACAAGCGCCGACGGACGATGCCTGGCGAAAGCAGCGGCGATCCGTTCGACCCGTCCGCTGGCAGCTTTTGCTTTGCTCAACATGGTGGCGATGGCGAAGGTCACGGCCACAAATCTCTCCTCCCACCGAGGCACCCCGGGTCCGGCGGCACGGTGGATGCCCTTGGCCACTACGACAGCAGCCAAGCTTTCGGCCAACGTGCTTTCGGAATCCGGGGTACAGGGCCCGGAAAGAGTCTAGGCGGCGGCACGGACAGAGACGGGGACTTCGAAGGCGACAGTCTTGGACTCACGAGAGACCTGCACAACATGAGCCTCAGTCGGCTGTCCGTGCCGTCCTTCCCCGACGACGGGGGCGCCGGCGGGGCGCTAGCGGATGACCTGCACCTGGGCAGTGTCCCCAGCGAGGGTATTATGGACCTCAGTTCCTCCATGGGTAGCTTCAACCTAGACATGGTCGGGCTGGACGGCGGAGGAGGAGCGGTAATGAGTGGCAAAGGGTTGGGGAGCTTCATCATCCGCCCCATCACCACCGACATCGACGAGGATGGAGGAGGCGGAGGTGTAGGAGGGAACAGCCTCGGCAGCATCACGTTCCCTGCCGCCGCAGTCGGCGGCAGCGGCAGCGGCAGCGGCAGCAGCAGCAGCACCGGCAAGAAGCGCTCCTTCAGCTCTGCGACATCTAGGCCGCCTCGCTTGGCATCCTTCATGACCTACTCGGCGTCGCTTTGCCGAACGTCTTCATCGTCCTCAATGCCGCGCCAGCGCTTCGGCGGCGGCGGCGGAGGCGGCGGCAGTGGTGGCGAGGAGGGCAGCATCGGCCAGTGCGGCAGCGACCTTGGTCACGACATCGTCGCCTCCGCGGAGGACTTCATGAACGAGGAAGGGAGAGAAGACATCTGCGGGAACATTCTTAGCGTCGACGCTATCCTTGGCGATATCGGCAGCAACGCCGTTGGCAAACTGTCAAACTGCAAGGACAGCAACGCCAAGAGTGTCGGAGAGGGGGTCGCTTCACTGGACAGACCTCGGAGACACGCTTCGACAGCAGGAGAAGGAGGATGGGAGGCAGCGGCTGCAGCACCAGGAGAGAGTGAAGGAGGAGGGGGGGGTAGCCCGCTGCGCCTCATGTCCGGCGACGAAGGCGGCGGTGGCGGCGGTGGCGCCGCCGGCAACATCCACACTTCGCTTGACGAGCAGAAAAAGTCGATCACCCCCGAAACTTTGGCCGACTTCTACGAAACAGGCGACACCCCTCCCTTGCCGGCCCAACCGTGACCAGAATACTGTACGGGAAGATGGTCAGTTTAAGCGTCCGGTCGACGAGGGCAGCAGGCAGATAGACCACCCACTTGAACCAGCAGACTAGGGGATAATCCCAGCGCTTTCCGACGAACCGAGGAAGTATTAGGCTGTGGCTTGTTGACTAAATCCACAAATGCGCGAAGCGCGTGCTGCGTCGTTGGGAGGAGACTTTCGTGACAACCTTGTCAGAGGGCATGCGGTCGTGCTTGAGCGTAGAAGAAGTGGAAGAAGATTCTACTCCTCGACGCGTGGCAACCATAGGACTACAAATAACCGGGAAATGTATATTACCTACACGAAGTGCTACACGTTGTCGGTCGATTGGAGTAAAGCAATCCTTGGTCAAAGGGCCATTGGTGCTCCGCTGTACAGCGACAGTAATGAATCAATGTAGGAACGAAAACGTTGGGGTTCATTTCCGTGTTCTTGCTACGGGGTGCGGAGCGCGCGGGGGTAGGGAGGCCCACGATCCTGAGAAAGAAAAAGTGTTGTTCATAGGCTAGTGGTCGATGCGACATCCTGATGTACTTTATCTGCCTCGCGGGCGGGGAATCCTTTAGGCGTAGACCGAATAATACCAAGAGTGACGACTGGAAGTATCAATAGCTGAAAAAAGAATCCGATAACGAAGAGTGCTGTGATAGTGTGCCCCGCCCCCGTGATTTCCTTGTTCGGGAAGGTGCGTCCCTCACTTGTCTTGTGTGTCGTGGGAGAGAGAGATACAAGTTTCCAAGTGCTTTGAGTTCCCGTGTGGCGTTTCAAAACCGGTATCACGCGTGTGATGAGTTCATTGGTTTTGTCTGGAAGGGGGATGGCTCATGCACCATCTGTACAGGATATCAGCAGCAGCGGCAATGGATGGTCGATGCACCAGGTGTGTCACGCACAACACGACTGCTTCCCCTGCTAGAGAGTTGCTTCGCTTCCGTAATACTTACCCACCTAACAGTCACCCGCCGAAGATAGAATAATTTCTACCCAGTGATCTCGATGTGTTGACTACCCTGCTTGTTGTTTTTTTCGGGTGGTGTGTCTTGTTGTTGATTGCGGGTGTGACGATTAAAACTCTTGCCTTGGTGTCAGTGTGAGTTTGACGTCTCGGAACCCCCTAAAACGTGGGAAAATAAGAAAATAGCTGAGCAAACTAAGAGGGACACTACAAGAAGAAGGACAACGTGTAGGCTGTATCTCTCTGGTGGCAGTGGAAGAAGTTGCTGGCAGCCCGGGTGAGTGGCAGAATAGCGTGCGGGAACAACGGGCATGCCAAGTACGAAGAATACTACGTTGCGAGCTTGTGCACGTTTTTTGAGGAAATTCTTTGCAACCGGAGGAAATATTGAATGAAAAGTGCATTCTGTTCGAGGGAGTTTTTTCATTTTTCCGTTTGTCTGTGTGAAAACCGTAGGATTTATCCTGGAATAAAGGGGGTAAGAAAAGCACCTCCTAGAGTAAAGCAGTGGACGGCCGCGGGGGTCGTCAGCTTTGAGTAGGTTGCCACGATAAATCAGATCGACGGAACTTAATCAAGTAAAAAGCGGGTTGCACCAATTTCGTCACCGTTGCAGGGGTTAGGTGTACCGTGCAATACCGCGGCCTCGATCGGCCGTGTGAAGGAGGGTAAAACTAATGTGAAAGGCGAAAACGAATGTATGGGGATTGGGTGGGCGGCAAGAGGCCCTGAATCTTCACGATGACACCTTGTGCTGATTTTTACCTCTGACCCCGTTCTGTTGGGTGAGCATGGGTATAGGTAGCTCTGGGAGTGAGAACAGCGGGGAAGCCTTCGGGGGGGGGATCAATATCCGTTGTTTTCCACCGCGCGGGAGTGCATAGTGACTTCTCTTTTTGTGTATGATCGTGCGGAGGGGGTGGTTAGACATCGGGGGGGGGATCACCTTAACGTCGAAGGTGTCGTAGACGGTGAGCGCAAATGTAATTTGGTGCCGGACCTGAGGGAGTGCCACTCAGATGTATCGGTCGTTGGATTGGAGGTTTTGCCCCAATAGGTGGATGTGCGTAGTAAGAAATGATCGGTCCAGGAAAATCGTGCTGTCTGTATGAAAGTGGCGCCAAATTAACTGCTACAATATCATGGGGCTGCCATGAGAGGTGCTGGTTGCGTGATTATCATTTTTTTTTGTGAGAGGGCACAATCCAAGGGTCATTGTTCTTGTCATCGAGACGATGTTGTTTATCTCGTTTTGGTCCCTCAGCAGCACGGACCCGAGTCAGCCCGTCAGAAGGAAGATAAGCATGAGCGCATCGGGTCTCCAACCGTACCTTGCACATGACCCGATCCACCGACACAGCGATACAAAGCATACATTGATCCCGCACACAAATAGTACTTGCAAGGTCCCTCTCGAAAAGAAAAACACCTTGCGTGAAAGTCAACCAGAAAAATGAACCTCTCAAAGAATCTCCTCACAGACGATGAGTCAAACGACACTAAAAGCAAACGGACTTCCGGCAATTTCTCCTGCCGACGGAAACAGCGCAAACGACGGCAAAGCTTGCGCGGGCTGTAGCGTTCCGGGGCTTTCCCAGCCCACAACGACTCGCACAGCCCGGGCGATCCCACCGCCGCCGTGGTGGACGTATTCCGCGCGCAGCCTGACCACCTCTCCGGCTGTTAGCAAGGTGGGGTTTTGCGAGTCCACGGTGACGTCAGGGACGGGGGACGTCGACCGGACGAGGTCGGACGAGGACGATGAAAATGTGTCGATAACGAGCTCGTCTCGAATCCAGAGCCTGGATTGAATTGGACGGGAAAGGGGGTGGTGTGTAAGTGTAGCAGTAAAGAGGATGGGTGCGCCCTTCAATGAGCGTTTCTTGTTGAAGAGAGATCTAGGCCGGCCAATAACCAGCGGAGAACTCTGTTCGTCAGCGACGAGCTTGTTCCGAATTCAGAAGTTTGGGGGTGTGCGTGAAAAGATTGGCAGTTTTGGAGATGTTGTACTTTCTATGGCAACCGAGGAGGCAAATGGCGTCGGCAGGACAGCGGGTGCGGGGGCGGAGACCGGAGCCAGGTCCAACAAGGGACATGAACCTGTTTGAAACGATTATCGAGACAAGAACAGCGCTTGTGGATCCGACATCTGTCATGCCAATAGCCTGGGAACGAAAACGCGTGCCTGTCATATGTCCGAACCAGGCAACCGTCAGTTGGCCACTCTGTTCGTACCTTTCCCTGACCGTTAGGTGGTTCCGGTTCCGATAACTACGGATCTGGTCGATACTGTATGTAGTACCAGTACGCGTTTGTACGCATTCTACTGCCGTTTTTGCCGATGGTCATACAGTTCTCCCTGTTTGGTTGTTTGCGGTGTTGGGCTTGTCGTCTTGGTAGTGACACGGCGATAAAACCGAGGCGCACCCTCTACCCCCCCTCGTCCGAGAGGTCGAGATGGGGCAGGCTGGCTAGATGTGTGCTAGAAAACAAGCTATGTACATGTAGGGCGCGAACAAAGTGGTCAGTAGACTAGGTTGCGTTAAACCACATGACTTTTGAAGCAGACGAAAGGTGGTGACTGAAAGCAATTCCCTTCGAACTCCTTTCCCGGCCGGCGGGCCGAGCATGAAGGCAAACTCCCCCTAGAAACGAACGAAACAATAACTACTGGCCAGCAACTTGTGAATACAGTAGGACACGCGGCATTTGCAAGCATGGTGGTCAACACAAATCCGTGATTCGAGGCTTTTCAATAAGAAGACCTCTCATCTCTCAACGGAGTCTTCACCTTGACTCGTCCCCGGCCCCCGTGCTGATCGTAAACGTGAACACCCCCGAGACTTGTGCCTTTAAGAACCCGTCCCATCTAATCCCAACCGTGCCCCCCGTAGATCCCACTCTCGAGACACCTGGCGGAACCCCCGACCCCCAGTCCAGTTGGATCGAAGGGTCGATCTTTCGGTCACGAAGTAGCGCAGGCATTCAAGAAGTCATGGGGGAGGGAAGGAGAGAACGGGGGGAGCGGTGACGTGGGATGAAAGATCATTGCATATATTGGGAATATGGATGATTTTTTTGTTCTAATGAGGAGGAGAGCATGGGAGCGATTATGGCAGGTGGGAGTACCTCTAATGGCATCATCTACATGCGCAGGAAGGAAGAAGTTGATTGATCCAGAGCAACACACACCCTCGTGACAAGTGGCCTCCCAGCCAAGCGGGCGTTAGTGTAGTACTGGGCCGTTAACCCTCCACCTCCGGACCTCCCGCTCAAGTCGGCTAAAAAGTCCTCCGTTGATACTTTTGACAACAGCAGCACTTGAGCTTCGTAGAGACCAGCAACGCCTGATGTATCGAATCGAAAGTTGTGGCGGGGAGTAAAATAAAAACGCGCAGCGACGGGGTGGCCACAAACGTTTGTGCGTTGTTTGAGGCTGACTGGTTAACACCACAGAAGCGTTGTTCGAACCACATTTTTTTGAAATACGTTTCGACCTGTGGTCATTCAAGTAGATGCAATATCTTTTTTTTATGCCCTATCCCCGCGTCAAGAAGTAGTGGTTTTCCCAGGTCTTGTAGCTTCAACATGTGAACGCGAACATTCGGTTGTCACGGTGCTATGTCAAAGCGGCATTTGGAGGTGCTGAATAGCTCAGACTATGTCAGTTTGGAAGGATACAGATGGCGCCCGCACATAAGAACCTCTAGTTTCGGCCGAGGCTGGGGTTCTTATTTTGCTGATCATCCTCTTGTGGGCTACAAATGGCCGATATATAGGTTTTAGTGTGGGGTTCTTAACCGAGGTCACAAATGGTGCTCAAGTTCTTAGTTCTGATTTTTTGCGAGTCTCAATTTCTTAACTGCTATGTTCTTAAGTGCGGGCGCTATCTGTGAACAACATCAAGAACGCCAAACACATGAATCACAACAACTAGATATCAGCCCCAGCAATATCACCAGGAATGTACATACATACCTGGCTTGATCGCGACGCTGTAGGAGCCACTTCCTTGATCGGCGACCACCGGATGTCGCACCTCTGCATGAGAAACCCCTTCTTCCTCCCCTTTCAACCGTACGAACCACTCATCTCCACCTGTCTCCAGGTCGTTGCCGAAGGCGTCCCTGGTACCAATGACAAGGGAGACGACAAGGGACGAGTTGAGCCAGAACTAGCTTTACAGCTGTCGTTTCGGAGAGCAACCCAACTCGAGAAGCCTACCCTAGGATAAAAATATTGTGAAACCTCTGGGAACGCCTGTGGGTATCACGTGATGACGAAGCGGTGCCGACCGAATCCACCGGGGCTGAAGTACGAAAACATGTCGTGGTCGAGGAATAAATACCCTATGAGGTCCAGCGTTGCCCTTCGTAGCCTTGCTAAGTCAGGTTCGCGCTGTTGGCGCTGGTTGGCGTTTGTCGTTGAATTCGAGGCATACGGCTCCAGGTGCTTAACGGGACAAAATAGAACTACGTTGCGAAGGCAAGTAAAGCGTTTCTATCGACACGTTGAGGTCGAGCGGTGACGAACATGTAACGGGCTTCGGAAAATAGACTCCACTACATCGAAGCTGTCTGCCTTCTACATCTCAACAAGGATGCAAAGCACCCTCGCTCTGAATACCACTGAAAACAACAACAAAAAACGGCACCCACGTTACTCGGAGCGTCCACAGTGGGATGGAGCAAGGGAAACCGAACATGCCCGCCTGGACCTCTATCTCTAACCGCCACTCACCTGGCGGAGAAGTGAACCAGCTTTGTAGAATTTACCGAGAAATTGCCCTCGGCGAAGAAAATTGCCTCGCAGTCGTCACACACCGATGTTGCGGCGTAGGAAGGACCTGGCGAGACGTGCAGGGAGAATGGGCTTCCCGCAATGTGCCCTCCCGTCGACGTTTGCGTCACCTGATCAAGGGCGTAACGCGTTGGGAATGGCGTAGTGTTAATACTTGGCTGCGTACTTCAATGGTCAAACACGCGCGACCTTACTTGAGATGGGCCGTGGGGGGGGTGTACTCATAGTCGTGCATGCCGTAGTCGTTAGACCATTGACCTCGCATCCCTACAAAGCCGGGACGGAGCACG